TCTCCCTGATGCTCTCCCCGACCCATCTGACGGCGGCGGCCCCACCCGATCGCAGCGTTATTTGATGACAATCACCGCATTTATGACTACTTTTGCTGTCTCCTCTACTTCGCACTCCACGACAGTCGCGTGGGTCGCATTGCGGCCAGCGCTCTGAGACAAGAGGGCTATAGTACGGAGTTTTTAGCAAGGATATTGAATGTGTTGCAAGCTGTAAAATTTTTTTTTGTTCTCAGAACAATCAGTATTGTTGATATCTCTAGCACCAAGCCAAGTATACTCGGCACACTGTCTTCTATGTGCAGCGCAACATAGAGTGCTCAAAGCACGTGCCTCCCCTTCCCCCCCTCTCTCTCTCTCTCTCTCTCTCCCTCTCTCTGAGGCTGGCTCTTCGATGTTTGCCCTTTCTCCTTCCCCCGACGGTCACCCCTTCTCCCCTCCAAACCCTCTCTCCCCGTCCCCACCAAACACACACTAAGCGTGTCTCCCTCGAGATCCCGCGATAGAGTAGTTTTTCGCCCGCGATTGTTTAACAAAACGACAACAGCCTTTTCTGTCTCACTTTTTGATGGACGCTCGTTTGGTGGTCGTGTGGGGGAGGGTGCGGGAGGGTGGGCCGGGAGGGGGAGGAAGAAGATGCGTTTCTCACGCACCCCTCCCCTCCCCTCCCGCAGGGTTCGCGAGCGCGCACACGCTGTCAAGCAGGGGCTAACACAGAGCGACCCGTCGTCGTTGTGTGTGAACCTCTAACGGGAGGGGAGGAGAGGGGGAGGGGTGCGGAGCTAGGGGAGGCAACACTTGCCGCACCGCACCCTACCGGCCACCAGCCGTGTGTGTGGTTCGCGACTGAAGCTCTCGAAAATAAAATAATGTTACTTGCCTCTCGAGAAGTTTTGGTGGGATTATTTTTCACGAGTCAACCGTGGAGTTATTATTGTTCATATAGTGTAGTTGTTTTAGCCCCGTTATGGAACGAACTGAGGAGGTTTCTATGGTTCTCATTAGTCGTTTTTAACATTAAATCGGCCTCTACATTGTTTTATATTCTAAGTGAAGTATGTTTAAGGATTTAAATTTGGTTTTCGCTCCGAGGCAGCCCAGGTAGAACACGTTTGTCAAAATGATGTCACAATGACCTCACTTTGACGCTCATCGTCAAGATTTACTGCGACTAGGTAGCCAGGTTGAGCTCATTTTGACGTCAAGTAGGGGTCATTGAATATTTTTTGACGCTTGTGTTCTACCTGGGTGTATACATTAACCTCCTTTCAATTCGTTCTAAACTATGAACTACGATGTAGACATCGTTTCGGCGTACTTCTTTTTAGATGGATTCACCCGAAAGAAGCCGCACACCTGGTGAAAATGAACACGACCTCGCGGAGCCTTGGTCGCTCGCGTCGTCAGCTCGGCTTTGGCATCCGAACCGAACCTCGGTCGTCTCGATGAGCCGAGCCGCGAGCAGCCGAAGCGGGCGAGGCCAAGTCGAGGCCAACCCCTCGTCCGAGCAAGCCAAGCCCGGCCAGCAACGCATCATCCCCTGCTCTCTGCCCGCATGCCACCCCCCGCCCCCTACCCCT